TGATTATACTCGAAAATCGCCACAAAGTAACCCCCACCTCCTGCTACCCCCCAAAAAAAAAAAAATCAAAAAAATCAATCCACCTCACTTTCCCCACTCCGATAATATGCATTATTTCTGTGAGTTCCAGTAGACATTTCCTAGCGTTCTAAAACACGCGGGCAACAGAGCACTACGAAAACAACGTAAATAAACGCGAATCAGCTCCAAGTCGCTATTGATTGTAAACTAGGAAGTAGGCCTCCTTCATCACGATAATCCCAGATCGACCTCGCTACCACCACCCTCCCACACCAGACGGGCTCGCGTGCTGGACGCTATTTTAAATTGTGGCTTTCCGGGGAACATAACGTTACGTGAGGTGTTAGTTCGATCTAGAGCAATCACCACACGCTATGGATGTGTCATAACACATCTCACACAGTGCTTACAGACCTCGGAGTCTGTCAAAGACGCTGGGTAGTGAATAGAGAGCGTCGGGGTGACGGATGGGAACTCCGGAGAGAATAAACGAGGAACAAGGAACTGCATGTACAAGAGAAATCTGAAAAAGGAGAACGAATGAAAGGGGGGGGGGTTGGGGGGGGGGAGGGGGAATTCATTTTTACATTAGGAGATAATAGGCTGTAGCTAGACGTTTTGGTGAAAATGGTGAAATAGTGAAATTATAATAATATACGTTTAATTCCCCTCTCAACACCATTCGGTTATTTAATAGGCAGTACCTCCGAGTTTAACCTCCATCTTCAAAACGATTGAGTTAAAAAGGAAATTCATGTAAAGTGACTGTCCTACTGACACACCGTCACACCGAACTGAGGCTCGAACCCCTGAACCCTCATTCTCAAGAATACAGGTCCGGTGTCCGGACAACTAGGCTACTAACGCCATTTATATTTTGAGTCAGAACACAATGCCGTACTGTTTATGAGTTGCTACTAGATCTAGTACCCATTGTGTAAAACGCCCAGAGCCGGTATCCTTTAATCAGGTTGAGCTTTAAATGAATGTCATAAACTATATTATTTATTATCATCCTTTTAGACTCATTAACAATCTGTATTAAAGGGTAAGAAGTTCAAGATTTATAAAGACAAAGTGAAAAACGTCCAAAGTAAGATGTGCAATGGTGCATGGCCTTATCTTTTACCTTCTCTTTACCCCCACATTTGAGTATTGTCTGAAGTCCAATATTTTCTTTCGTTCTATGTAGTGGCGTCGGTGGCCTAGTGGTCAGTCTCTCGGACTCGCAACCGTAAGGTCGTGGGTTCGAATCCCGTCAGGGGCCCGACATTGTGTCCTTGGGAAAGGCACTTTACACGAATTTTCCTCACTTCACTCAGGTGGGAATGGGTACCCGGCTATAGACAGCGAAAGATCTTGTCAGTTTGTTAGTGTTTGAGCGCTTAATCAGCTGCTTGCACTGTATGCTTCCCGGGAAGCTGAGAATGTTTCGGAGTGTCCTGTGGTCTGCTGGGGTAATGATATAGTGTAAAGCGCATAGAGCCTACAGTTGAGCGGGGATATGCGCTATACAAATTCTATTTATTATTATTATTATTATTATGTGATCATCCGGTAGGGATTTTTACAACTTCGAAAGATAAATTTGTGAAAAGATTGTAACCTCTCTTAATTTCTTAAAATATTATGTTTGCGTCCACTAAAATGTTAAAATTTTATATTTTATCTCTAAATATACCAGACAAGAACGGAGTTTCTTAAATCTCAACTTCTATTACTATTACATGTACTTAATATTTGTTACTTTCGTTCCCCAAGCACTCCATCTTCATTCCAGTTTTACACTCCAAACATAGCAAGCACTTTACAGGAATTGGTTAAGTTATTTAACAGTTGCCTGCTACTTTTGAATAGAAAATTATAAGTTTAAAATATTATACCGACCACTATCATCACTACCTGTTATGAAATTTTGGTTGCACAGTATACGTACAATATTATAGCAATGAAAAGGCTACAACAACATCATTCTCAGACAGAGATTTCTGCCAAACAGCGCGCTGTTTTTCTTTTCTTTTTTTTTGTAAATTTCGGTAAGTGTTTTATTGCGCTCTCAGATACATTCGGTTATAATAGAATGCGGGATACATGAAGCATTTTCATTTTTGTTCGGATGGCGGAAGAAGCTTGCACTTACCGTTTTAAGGGCCACCAAGGAATTTTAACGTGCGCAATTATGATACGAGACCTCCAAAAGACGAACGTAGACGACAGAACATGGTTAGAGAGCAGAGAAGGAGGTGAAAGGAGACAATTTTAGAGAAGAAAACTTTCCGTCCCTGTCAGGTTTCGAGTCCGGGTCTTTTTGAATGAGAGACGAACATCGTAACTTCTAGATCACGAGAGCTCCCGTGCACTCCAGGGTTTTGCTGTCTCGCTCAAGGACACAGCCATAAACCACCTTCCTAAACACCTGGTTACTGACATTGCTTGGTGTTATTAGTTGTAATCCTGATATCATTGACCACTCGGTTACTGAGAACCTTGTGTGTCGCTTTCCTCCACCCGGGAAGGGCGGGGGGAGTGGGCTGGAGGCAAAGGATGAGGTAATGGGATGGAAGATGAGGCGGGCAACGGAAGGTGATGGGTGTTGGGATTAAGGTCTTGTCTTTACGAAAAGAATGTATGTTTTTTGTGTATCCATTACGTCGTTGTATAAGAATTTTCACAAAGAGATTCCTTTCATTTTTTTTCATGTATTCATTTATTCATTTAATCATGATCGATCATTTATGCTAAGGGTTTGGGAAGAATTCAGACTTTTGTAGTGGGTGTTTGGCGGTGCTCTGGTGTGGTTTGCTTCTTCTTTTCTATCAAACATCTATCGTCTTTATCTCCCCTCCTTCTTTTTATGTTGGTTACTCTTTTGTAACACCTAAAATCTTCTGGTGCTCATATGACCGCATGTAGTTGCGAGCGCCGTAAAACCTCTACTAAAACAAACAAACATTGTAGTCATTTTCTCGAGATAAATGATTATTTTCGCATCAAAACCAAGACATAATTATGAACAAGCTTTAAAAGAAATTACTAATAATTCCATATTCAAAATATTCACGAAAACCTTGTTCTGTTGTGTCGCGACTCAGTTCATTCATTCATTCATTCATTCATTCATTCATTCATTCATTCATTCATTCATTCATTTATCAGGTGCAATGACCCCCACCCCCTTCCCAGTTCCCAAATGAAACAGAACCTACTTTGTTTTGTTACTAACGTTTGGTACATTTTCCAGTTACATTTAAGTCTCAATAGTCTTAATAGGTTGCCTGCTTTAATCATAGTCACATTGGCAAACGTTATAGTACACATGGTATGTCCGCGGTTGTTAGCACCGTTCCTTAAAAAATTAATCTTCCTTTGTGGGAAAGTGCTAAATCTAAATTGAATATTGGAAGGTGTAGTCAGTTGATGGCCTCAACCAGACTGTTGCTTATGTTTGAGTAGATTCAAAAGGTGAGTTACGGAGGGATTTATAAACAAACATGGAAAATACAAACAAAAATAACAAGAAGAAATTAGACGAGTATAGGCGAATAAACCCCCCCCCAAAAAAAAAAATTAAAAAAAATA